AAAAACTAGAAATTCACCAAGTAAGTTAAATTCAGAAGTACCAAACCAAATAACTATGTATATAATTAAGCTATGACTGGTATTTAGTACTTCCCTGCAAGTGACTAGCTGAAATAATGTAATTAGCAATTTTCTCACACAATACACTGCAGAACAGAGAAGTCAGTGTTTCATTTAGCGGCCCCTTTTTAAAGGTGTAGCAAATGTGATGCTTAAAAACCTCCTACTAAATTGGAACTGTATGAGTGTAATGCAGAACTGATTCTACCATACCCCAGAACTCAGGATCCACATTGATCTGGCTAATGAGAGTTTTCACTGTTAATATCCCTTTGTATATCACAACATGACCACTAGGCAACTGTTAGCATAGTGAATGTCAAATGAGCTTAAATGAGCTAGTGAGACATCATCTAACACAGATCTTAAACCCTAGCTTTAGACTGAAAAGTATTCGCAATTGTTTAGCTAGGGATCTCTCCCAGCACTACATTTTAAATTTACTGTTTCCTTATTGTTTGGCACAGTACAGTGGAGCCTTCCCCAGTAATAATTCTGTTTGCTAGGATTTTACTTGCTGGTCCTCCTGTTTAAAACATTTACGTAGACACAACAGAGATTTTGAGAGGCTTTGTGGCATCTAATCATTACCCACACACTTTATGGGAAGCATTAAATGAAAGGGTACAACCTTTTTAGTTTATTTATTTTCTCATTACATGCTGTTAAGGTGCTGTCTATTTCATTGACATAATCCTCACAGCATTGTGAAAGCTTCAAGTACTGGGAAAATATTCACCAAGGAACATATGCTCCTCCAAAGTGTAATGAATACTGTTCCAGCATATAGAGGTTTAAATTATTTGGGAGGAAAAAAAAAAAAGGAGGGGGAGGGAGGGCTTAAAGGACGAAACACATGAATCCCCTTTCTCTTTTGCATTGTTTTCTATAGTAAATCAGCCAACAGGGAAAGTTGACATTTACCAGAACTTTCATAAATATTCCCTTGTGTAAACTTCTTTCTAGTCTTAAGCAGCACGGAACACAGAAACAGGTGGAAATTTTTTTCTCCTAACATTAAATTTTTCACAGAAAACAACTCCCCACTATGAAAAGTGTAGCTAGTGCAGTTATTTAGATTTTAACTGAAGAAATATTTTAACCAAAGACAAACCTTTTTTCAACAGCCAGAATTTTCAACTGTAATTTAAACAACATTGCAAATTAAAACAGTAACAATTTTCTCCTGAGTAGTATACAGCTCTGCTATTAAGTGATATTCTTAAGCATCACTGTTGCTAAAAAGTTAAAAAAAAATAAAGAAAAAGAAAAAAGTAAGTAATTTTCAGGACCAATTAAACCATGGAAAAGTTTTTCCCATTAAATCATTATGACAGTTACATTCTTTAGGTTTTTTATTATTATTCAATTTTTAAAATCAGCATTTAAGATTCTGCAAATTTGGCCTTAGGGAATTGGATTTCAGGCATCTTAACTCTCATTGAACAGTTCTCAGCTCAAAAAGACTTGACATTGTAACACTGATCCTGGTAGCAAATACATTTCTGAGAGTTTCCTCCACAGCTACTAGCCTCACTGGCAATATTAGAAAACTAAAAAAAAACTGGGAAGCAAGAAACAAACAAACAAAACATACAGGCAATTATTTTTAATAGTAGTAGTTGTAGATAAGAAAAGAATAGTCACAATAGGTTCCAAAAGAAGTTACATTTTAACAAGGTGTCTCTTAAAATTATAGAACTGTTTAATTTCATGTCATCAATACTCTTAATTACATAAGCACATTTATGCACATAAAAATCATGGATAAACGCTTGCAGGGCTTCTGTATTACATACAGAAATAAGACATGAGAAAAGCAGACTGTATTGTTGCATATTCCCTCACTTCTTCCTCCTTTACCCGAGAGTTTTGGCTTAGTAGGTGGATGTACATGAAGCTGCTTTTAGGTTTCTGGCTTGCCCTCCTTACAACCACTTATTTCAATTTTTCATTCCCCTTCTTCCCTCTCCCATTATCAAACCAATATCCAGGATGAAGCGTAATTTTAATCTGTGCCCCAAACAAGCTGGGCACACAGCAACACAAGCAACACAGGCATCAAGCTTGCTGGAATACACGTTTTTATGGCATACAGGAATCACACAATGTGTTCAAAGGTCAGGCAACTACTCCAACCACCACTTTCATGGCTATATAAGGAAATCAGTCTTCAAGTAATCATACAGACTATCAGGTGTTATTACAGCAACCATGCAAATCGTAAGCCATATGCACACCTTGATATTACATGAAACTAATTTGTACAGTTCAGAGGACCTCCATGCATCTAGACTGCATTTCCTCTGACCACTATATCAGCCTCTACAACAGTCGTATTTCACAGGTCATGAAGGCATCAGGAAATGCACTTAGGATAGTCACTTGTGTTTACCTGTAAGAGACAACTGAGATTTAACTGCAGTCCTGCTAACCACATGGGAGGACATCTTATACATCCACAGAGTGTATAAGCCCCAAGAAGTACAGTAATTCTACCTCAGAAATAAACAGAAAGAGAGGGAATAAAAGTGCAATCCCTGTACTCTTGTGCCCTGGGGCTGCTAATACAAGGCAAAGTCACTCAGTGTCTTAAAATAAATATATTGGCCTGCAGAGGCATGTGGTAAAGAAGCAATGAAAACAAAAGAAGATAGAAGCCTGGGTGTGGAAGAATCACGCAAGGGCGGGTGCAGAAGAATCATGCAACTCCATAGTGATAGGACTCAGGGAAAAATAAAAAGGGAAGAATAAAAGGGGGGTGGGAAAGGACTAATGTCAGCTTTGGCAGAAACCTTAGCAGTGCCACATATACTGGGTTTAATACTTAGCTCTACCTATCTGCATGAACTTCCCTGAGTTCTGCAATCTCTGCACACCTAACATTCATTTCACCAATACGAATGCTGCACTGGAAAAACAATATACAGAATGTCTCAAGGCATACTATTTCCACTAGTAATGAGTCATTCTCACTAGCAGGATAATATATCTGCTCCTCCTCCTGAAGGGTCAGGAGACATGAAAATATAAAATAATGGGACAACGAAGAAACTGGGAGATGAATTAGGAGTTTATTGAGCTGCTTATTATGCATTCAACAAAAGCCAGGACCAAATTCAGGTATTTCAGTTGGCATTTCTTTGGTGGGTTTGGGCAGTGGTAGGTTTTGAGAGTGCCCATAAAAATTTTCTTATGGGGAAAATCTATGAGGCTTCTTATATCCTTGTAGCACAATGAAATTGTTATTATGGGCAGTTTTATAAGACCAAGACTTGATGACATGGTCAGAAGGCAGCAGATGGGACTTTGCAACTGGGAAGGGAAATAAGTCTCCTAACTTCACTACCAGTGAAGAATGAGAAGCAGAAGGTGTCTTCAGTGAATTGATACTTAAAAAAAAAAAGAAGAGGCAACACCACCTCACACCTAATTACATGTTTGGTAAATGCTTAAGGAAACTGCACCACAAATTTATATAGCATTCTACCTATGACAAATGAAGGCAGTTCTGCAATACCTATATTAATATGTTCTCTGTTAATTCATGAGACTTTCAGGCAAAAGCACTTTGTATATCCCACTTATGGTTTAACTACAACAGAAAAAATGACCCTATGAGTCAATAAATTTATCATATCTTTTAGGACTGAAAGCTAAAGAATAATACAGCCTGCTCAAACTCTCTTAAAATCCCAACAGTTATCTCGCTATCTTAAGTTAAACAGGGATGACACAGAAATTTTAACCCTACATCAAATTAGCCAGTTGTGCAATTTACACTTAGTACGACTGTTGTCTCAGGCTTGGAAGTTTACACTCTAAATATTGTCTTCAACAATAAAGAGACTTAACTGAAATTGTGTAGAAAATTGTGTTCCAAATAGCACTGATAACAAACCCCAGATATACTTGGTCTTCCTGGATCATTACTGTTATACTTAGCTAAACATGTAAAGCTACATAGTTTCTGCTTTCTCTCTAATAATAATTATTGAAAGACTAATATTTATAAAGTCTGCTGATAGAAAACATTGCAATACGTGTTTCAAAACAAATGAAAATAAAAGTTACGTTTTATGAAGTTTCTCAAAGTATTTCAGGTCCTTCCGACATTAGCAACCTTTGAAAGGTCAGCAGAATTTTTAATGAAATGGCATACATTTATTTTGCAGAATTAAAATAACCACCTACACGTGAAAAATTAACAGATTGCCCAAAAGCATCCATCTGAAATGGATCAGTAACTGAAATGCACATACCCCCCACCGAGTTTTACATGCAGAAGATATAACCCCAGCACAGTGGAAACAGGCAACAGAATTAAAGGCCTCCAACAGGATTTTATTTTAGCCCTCAGAATAATGCTAACACAAAGTTCATAAACAAGTACAGAAAGAGCTATACATCGTAATTAGAAAAACAAAGCTCAAACTCCTGTTTCCTCTCACATACTCTCCCTGCTATTTCTACTTATACACAACTCCCTTATTTTACCCTTTCATACTCTGAACTCTTACAGACTTACTACACAAGTAGGTCTCCCATACGTGCGGGTCAGCAGCTTACGTTCACCAGCACATCCCAGGACCGCTACTGAAACGTATCTTCTTGCACTAGAGTGAGGCAACACATAACTCTCCGCACACGGTATAATGTTTAAGTAGCCTTTTCCTGAAGACTTCTGGTACTTCATGCACTTAAAGGTGCTCACATCCTCAAGAGAACATGAACAGATAGCAACATACGCCATTCACTACCTACAAGGAGCAGCGCCGGGCCGGTGGGCTCTCAACCTCACACCCGCTCTCCCACCAACTAAACTGGATAGACTAGTCCCTTCCTTCCACCCAACTCCCCCAGACACTATGGATAGGTAACACCGAAAAACAAGGCAGCAGCAACCAAAACGATTAATAACTCACTCTATCCCACCCTACCTGCCCAGCCGCCAGCTCCTTCAGCGCCGCGTCACTCTCTGGGACCCGCCGCCACCTGCCGCCGGCGGGGCGGGCCAAGTGGATGGGAAGCGCAGACTGCCAATAGCAAGGCGGGTGGTGGCAGGGGCGGGCCGGGCCCAGACGGGGTCACCTGGGGTCGTTCTGTGCCGCCGGTGGGATGCATATTAAGATCAGATACAGCCGGATGTTGCTGAGCTCGCGGTTGTGCGCTCTCTGCGAGGTCGCAAGGCGCCGGGGTACCCCGAGAGTGTTGCCATGGTCGGCCGGGGGGAACAGTGAGCTCTGGCGAGCCCTCTGGCGGGGCTTTTTTTATCCCGCACCGAAGTTTTCTCCTCGCCACCCATCAGTACGGGGCCGCTCCCCACCTTCTCTTTAAGCAACACAGAAAACTGCGGCAGTTTACCCTCCCGCTATGCGCTACGAGTTCCCCGGAGTCGTAGCTAGTGCTGTGGCTGGGGTCCCCGGCTGCCCCTCAGTAAGGCGGTATGGCAGGGTGTGTTTGGCCGCTGTTGGGTTGCCACCGGTGTGTGCACTGCCGCGCGGAGGAGAGCCGTACCGCGGCAGCGAGGGCTGCGTAAGAGGCCGCTAGAAACCGAGCACATAGCTGCCCTGACCACCCGCTCGTGTGGTGACGAAGCGGTTAAACTTAAACCACACCGCGGGCCCGCGCACCGCCCTCTCGACAACGGAGGAGGTTTGGGTTCCGCCGGCCGCCGTCGTGCAGTTCCCGCCTCGCCGGCCGCGCGGCCTGTTTCAAAGCGGGAGCCATGGCCGATCAGGGCCTGGAGATGGCCTCCATGATCCCAGCGCTGCGGGAGCTGGCCAGGTAGGGCTGATCCAGCTCCCGCTTCGCAGGGCTTGTGGGGCGGGGGGGTTCCACTGTGCTGGGGGAAGCGCCCCCGGCCTCGCCATCAGTGTGTGGCCCAGGGAGATGAGAAAAGTAGGTTCCTTTCCCACGGCTGTGAGAGGACTTCTGGGTCTGCGGTCTTCCCTCATCCTCGTCGCCATGTTCTGCCATCGGCCCGTGTGGTTTCCTCCTTCACAGGTGGTGCTGGTACATCCTGGTGGGAGAGGCGTGTTGGCCTGCATGGCACCCGGCCTGTTGGTGGTTTCCCTTGTGTTTGCAGTGTGGTTTCATTGAGGATTAAACGACCTTGACAAATGCCTGGCTCTGAAGTTTTAATGGCAGCATCAAGACTGAAGCTTTGTTTTGTAGTAGGCAGCTAGGTGACTTGGAGATACAATTGCATGTTGAAGGTCTGACCTAACAAGAGTTAGCTGCTGTCTTAGTCACATGAACAGTTGCTATTGACGTCTCTTGTCCAGGGTACTGGTAGCTAAGCAGCTGAATAATTTTGGTTAATTCCAGAAGTGAAATGCTTTCCTTATTTTATTTCTTTCTGCACCAGAGCTGGGTTGTTGCTTTGTAGTAGTATGCAAATAAATCCCTCAGTCTGCCCTCTGGATTTAATATGTATCAAACATAATTGTGTAACAAAATAAAATTATCTTCATCACTTCATAAAACTTTGTACTTCTGAAGAATAAGGAGGAGGAGGCAATACATTGGTTATTAAAACAAATTTGCATTTATTTTTTAAGATTTCTAGAATAAAAAGCATTTAACATCTTGGGGTTGAGGTAGACTTCAGGTAGTTATTTAGTAATTTTAAATGGATAATGTCAATATAATGTACTTTTAATTTTAGTGCCAGTCCAGAAGACTACAATACAGTTGTGCAGAAACCAAGACAAATACTCTGCCAGTTCATTGACAGAATTCTTACAGATGTAGATGTCGGTAAGCATTACATCACTGTCTTTTAATATAATAATCTGCTTTATGAAAGTTTAAGTAATTCCTGCCAAAAAAAGTTACAAGTTTCATTTCAAGAAAGGTTTAGTAGTTGAATGCAATACTACTTATGACTTATCTTTTAATAACTTCCATGATGAAGAATTTGTTATTAAGATGTGAAGTAATTTAAGCCAAAAAGAAAAAAAAGTGGGGATATGTAGCACAGGGTTTTGTGAATATAAATGCTCACAACACTGAAAATCAGGAGTAATGTGATTGTTCATTGAGTAGTATAGCTTGCAAGTCTTAATAAAGGGTCTTTAAGAATTGAAATACTTTGATGTAAACAGGTTTATTTTCAATTTTACTATTCTAGCAAATTGGTACTCCTTAAATCATGATAAGGTTCCAGTTATTAGCAACAACAATTTGGTAATTATAACATTCATATACTACAAAATTACCATTTGTAGTTATCTGTACATTTACATAAGGGAGAATCAGAGTAAGAATAACTTAACTTTGCCAAATACAGTTTTATGTAGCTGTCTTGGTAAGACAGATGTTTTGTCTAGTGAATTGATCAATTTCAGTATCACACAGGTTACTCTATAGGTGATGTTTGTTAATGCTTTTATAGTACTGAAAGGGAAGGCAATCTGCTTGAAATACTGCTTTGGAATGCATAAGTGTTGTATTTTATCATTTCCTTGGAACTTCTCTGGTTAATTCCTGTCTGAATCTGAGACAGTTTCCTTGTTGTGGTAACTAACCATGTGGAATTTGGAAAATGTGTTTCAGATACCTGCTTCAATGGAGCTGTACAGCAGCATTAGATATGCGTAGTATTTTACCAAACTTTCCAATTGAGTAAGCTGAACTTACCATTCTAAAATTTATATTTCTTGGAGATTTGGAACAACTTTAGCGTGTTCTTTTTCTACCAAGAGCATAAACCTAGGGAAAATTGATTAAAATTTAATGCTAACTTTTTGCTATTCTTCACTTATCAAACAGTTGGATATGAGTATTTTATATGCATACAGTTTGGTGTCGCATAGAAGGCTTACAGTATGCACAGGGTCATCCTCGTGGATTGATAAAGCACTCTCCTATGGATAATTATGCAAGTTTGATACCATACCATAGTATTTTATATTAAAAACATCTTCTTCCTCTTTAGGTGTGAACAAACTTTGTGAAGTTAACTTATTGCAATGCTAATTTAGAAATGTGTTTTTGTTTTGTTTTTTTTTCTGAAGTTGCTTTGGAACTGATTAAGAAATTAGATTCACAGCCCAGTTCTGTAATGTTGCTTGACTTTATTCAACATATCATGAAATCTTCCCCGCTTATGTTTGTAAATGTGGATGGAAATCAGGAGGAAACTGAAAGTGGTTGCATTGGTGAGTTTGTTGAAAATGTCTATGCTGAAGCTTGATATTTTCAGGACTTAGATTTTCTGACAGTAGGAACAAAAGAACAAAAAGGGGAAAGGGGCAGATTCGTAAGTTCAGTGTTACATATTTATAAGTAAGTTAACGTTATGATAGACTTTAATATGTGAAATGATTTGCACTTGTGTTAATGAAAATTCATCAGGAGAGAGTTTGACCTTCTTCATTACCATTGCGAGGTATTCTGTACATACGATTGTTGACCACAGTTGTTAGGTTTTCTGACAGAGGAAAATGTCTGAAACTATCCAGTATAAAATGTCTCCCAGGGTTTTTGTTTAGTTGGTTTTCCCCACCTGCCCTGCATCCCACCCCATTTTCTTCTTTTTCAATAAGATCTGCTGAAGAAATGTCCCAGTGAAGCTCTGTTTACTAGACCTGCACTCATTTATCTCAAGGAATTTTCTTTACTTATCAGAAACCTGCTTTTGGAGAGGTCCTTGTAATAGGAGGGTTGGGATTTTGTTTTACTATTTTTCTGTTCACTGTTTCTTTTTTTATTGTCCTAGAATTTAGCAACTGGATCATAACAAGGCTTCTTCGAATTGCTGCAACTCCAAACTGTGACATGTTGCACAAGAACATTTGTGATGTCATTTGCTCTTTACTTTTTCTGTTTAAAATGAAAAGTTTCTCCATTTTTGAAGTACTAACAAAAGACTTGCTGCAGCTTTTCCAAGACTTGATCTTCTTGCATGAGAGAGATGCACAGAAGCACCTCTGGGGAGATGGACTTGTCTGGCCAGTGACTGTAAAGAGATTTTCAAGCAACGCAAGTGACAATGTGGGATATTTAAGACTGGCACCATTACAGCTGATGAGTATGCTCAATGTGGAATGTTTGGAAATTATATTAATGTCTATTCTGACACATATTGTTGCAGATGTGTTTTTTGTAAGACAAGATACTGTTCTCTGGGGGATAGGCTGCTCCCTGTTGGAGTGTGGCAGTCCAAAGGTTAAAGTTTTGTCAGTGAAGTTCTTAGTAAAATTAATTCACTTAGGAGGACCTCCAGAACAGCTGGCTAGTGTTTTCTTCACAGTCTTTTTTGAAATTCTACAATCAGCACTTGAAATGGATGCTGACAAATCAGAACTCCTTGGAGAACCACTCTTTCTGTTGGTGAGGACATTGTTGCCTTTTGAAGCAGATTCGTACAAAAATATTGAACCTGTCTACTTAAATATGTTACTAGAGAAGCTCTGTGCATTGTTTGAAGATAATGTATTTAGGTGCCTTCAGTCTGAAAAGCTGAAAGCTACTTTTTGCCATATACTGCAATATTTCCTGGAGTTTGTTCCAACTGGCTATGAATCTGCCTTGCAAGTAAGAAAAGCCCGTATCAGTACCATATGCAGAATTTTTGTGGGTGTGCTTGGAAGTCAGGAAGACCAAGAGGTAAGTTAATTTTTAAAACTGTAGTTATCACTTAAACAGATCATGTGCAAAACCCTGCATCTGTGCCAAGAAGAAAATTTAGGAAATACTGTTTTTAATTGCAGAATTAGATTGATACTCTTTGTTTCTCAGCTGTTTTGCATATTTGCAGAGGTCAGAATGTCCAACAGAATTAATTGGATGTACCTGGCCCTTGTTTTTCAAGTGTATCAAACTATTGCAAAGCTGTGCAGGCACAAGGATCTTTCTGTAATCATAGCATAAAATGGGGGTAAGGAACAGAGTATGTTCACATAATGGCAGCTTTACATTTCCTTTCTGAGCTGCTCTTACTTTCTAACCATATGCTTTTAGTCATACTTGTTGGGGACAGAAAGAAGTGTTTGAATTAAAACAGTCATAGAATAGTTTG